AAACCATTCTATGATTCTATGAAAAATTGGTGTTTTATTGATCAAGCTATATTATGCTTAGCACTCTCCCTCAATTTAGAAAAAAGAATTACCAGGATTATACACCTCTCTATGTTATCGTTATCTTCTGTAATTAAATGACTGAAATGTAAACAATTTAAGTTTGATTAAAATTGCCATCAAAATCAGTAGTTTTACAACTGCTATAAACTGTAGTTTTACAAATCTAGACTTTCAACAATGCCCAAGACAGGTGACTATTAAAATGTGTATTTTCACAACATTTAAAATGCTGAACAGTCAAAGAGTTCATCTTCAAATTCCTTCATTTGTATTCTGCACCACCAATTATCATTTATTTCAGGAAAGGCACCAGCTGTGCAGTTCCTTCTCCAAGAAGATCCACAAAGCAGAGCTGGCATCTGTACCAAAGGGAACAATACACCGAGGGTTTAAAGAAACTCCTTTTAGATTTTCAGATGTAAAGTAACTCCCGGGCTAACTGAAAACTGAAGTGACTCAGACACTTTATTAATTAAAATAATACTCACCAACAAGGAACGGGAGAGCAGACTTCACTTCTAGCATGTTTTTGGTTTTTTTAAACAACAGCAATTAAAAATCAAACTACCTCCAGCTTGTACATTCCACAGTTACTTTCTTTAATATGCATTTAAGTTATGAAGAAATATCTGTAAAACTTACCTCCCTAACAGACAGCTGTGGGGGTAGCGACACAGAAAATACAAAACTAGTGAACTGGTAGTCAGCGGAATTAACCTTTTGGCACACCTATAAGAGAAAGATTTTAATATTAAACCACGGCAATGGAACTGAGTTGATAATCTTTTAGGATATTCTTTATTCTAGTGTAATCACTGTAAATCCATGCTAATACACATTCGGATACATGCCGAACATACAAACAAGAGTAATCCTTAACAACTTATTGAAACGTAAGCTTTTTTGTTCTGTTTAAAAAAAACCCAGAAGTTACTAATAAACTGTATCCTTATTGCTATGAAACAACCAAACTCACTATTTTAAGGTAAGACCAATTGTATACCGAAATCTTAGTGCAATGAATTACACCACAGTGAGCAAAGGCTAGAACAGCTGACACAGAATGTCTTTCTTCATGGCAGTGATACAATTCTATGATAATAAAAATGTTTAAGATCCTGGGATAACACAGGAACAAACAGGTATCCACAGTATTAATTCATAATCACTCTTCATCGTAAAAAATCATGTTTGTCACTGGAAATAAAGTAAGAACTCAAACACACATCAAACATTTTAAAGTAGGCTAGCAAGAGTCGATGGCTAGATGTCCCTACTGGAAGTAAGCTTAAATACACACGGAGAAGTCATCTAAAATGTCAGTGATTTTAGTGAATGTTAGAGACGAATTCTGAGCTTTCAAGGTGAAATCAACACCTCAGAGAAGGAAATTTCCTTATAAAATCATCACTTAACAAATGCTGTCAGATTTTCCATTGCTACTCAAGAGAGTAACTCTGAAACAAGGCTTAGAAGTGGATTCTGTAAAAATATGTATACTTTGCCACTGGAAACAAAAAAGAAACATCATGCACTGCATCACCAGAAACTATATACTACACTTTCTGTTTAGTCTCATTTTTAGATATATTCATGCTATTAAACCAAATTCTTTTCTATTAAAACTCTGTTAAACATCTCAAATACAAGTGTGATTTTTCTCGTTGATATTTCAGTTTGTCACATAAGCAACTTTATTGCTCAGAGAGGATTGCTGCAACACTCGTTATGCCCATATTCTCTCCTAACTCATATTTTCTCCATTATCCACAATCTGTTGTATCACAAAACATTTTCTTCCTCTGTGGCTTCCTAAATACCAGTGCACTGTCAATGAGCAGGATATAGTTGAATGGCGCCATCTACGTTTCAAATATTCAAAATAGGTAAATGTTTCAGTTTGTTTTCCGGTACCCTTCTCTCAGTTGTTTAACTGCATGGTGTTTTTCATCACCAGCTCTATACTGTAGGCCCCAACATACACAAGCTCCAATAAAAGTACACTTAAAGATTAAGAACTGGTTATTTACCTTTTTAACAAAGTCAACCTCGCAGAACTCCTGAAGAATTCCCAAACACACATTGCAAACCTTCACAGCTGAGTTCTCCATTGCAGTATTTTCATCATGAACCGCAGGAATCTGCTGGAGCGCTCCATTGTGGTTCAGATTGTCAGGCCCTTCTTCTGTGTGTTCGAGTCTGATTTTCTTACAAGGTGGATCAACTACATCAAAACAAACCGGATCTTCTTTTTCTTGATTATTTTTCAGAAATTCTTTTAAATCCTTCATCAAATCCTAACACAAACAGAGGAATCATACCGTTGTTGTTTTTTCCTCTTTTCTCCAATGCTGCAACAAGCACTTACAAACACAATTCTAAAAGGTAGTACCAACCATTCCAGCTTAGCCTTAGTGTACGTAATTAATAACTTGGAATTTATACCAGAAGACATCTACACAATTAAAAAGCTCCAAGCTGTATTTCTCTCAAAATGTTATCCAGATAAATTGAATTTATCATCTTTATCATCCAAGAAGAGTGAAAACATTTTACAGACCTGACTTGCAGAAATGCATTTATCTTTGGCCCCATCGCTATTCAATGAAAATAGCTGTTTATTGCCTTTTTGTCATTTAGATTACGTTAGAATTTAATTCCTCCAACTCCATTAGCCCAGATGACTAGGAAGAGAGTTGGCTAGTATAGTATGAGAAGAAAATGAGAGCAGATACAGGTGAGGGTGAAATTAAATACATAAGAGGAAGAACTTCATATAAAGAGAAACCTACAAAAATTAAAGGATGTGCTGGTGAGGAGAGAGAATTACCTGCATGTCTCTGAATTTTAGGAAGGATTGAGAGATAGAGGCAAGACATAGTTCAGAAGGAAAGATTTATTAAAAGGTCTTCAGTATCAAAGACAGCAGTTACTGTGTTGTTGCAACTCAGAGGAAAAAGATGTAAAAGAATAAAAAATGGCATACAGAATGAACACTTCTCCAATGACTGATAGAAAATGGAAAAGGATAAGGAAGAAAGATGTTAAAAATGAATTCTGGAGAGTCTAAACTTGAACAAAGGTGAAACAATCAAGACAGACACCAGAAGATGCAAGCATAAAGACAAGGGGTTAGACCAGGTAAACAGAGATGTTTACTTGGCCGATACAATGAGAGGGGTCTCAAAGAACCAACATAGAGGAGGAGCAAACAGCCAAAACCAACTTTAGGAGTATCAAATATAAGAACAAAGGCAAGAATGATCGTGCACAGCTAGGAAAAATTTGAAGAACACTGAATTTCAGCACTAAGGTCAGCTAAAAAGGATGCCTAATAACACTGTGTTTGACTGATTGAAAAAGGAAGATTTATCCTTAACCTGCGCTCCACAATTCTTCAGTTACATCCCCCTACCAATTCTACTGAAAGAAGAAGGAACTATGAGGCAAAAAAGTTTGGAGCATAGATGGTTCCTCCTCTGCATCAGCTGCACTGCCCACAGCCCCTTTACTACTTACTACATTAAAGGAAAAAGAACAGAGGAAACAGTCATAGCTGCTCTGCTTCAAAAGTGATAGAGCCATGCTGTGCAGAAGCTAACATGCCCTGTTTTCTGGTGTTTTCAGGGAATACATAGCAACTTTCACAGTCAAACTTAACATTTAACCTACAACAATTGTTATATTCTGTGATTCTTGTAATTTCTCAAAATTGCACAGTGTAGCAGCAGCCATTTTTCATAACTCATTTTGCAAAGCGTTTTCCTCTCAGGCAAAGAGCCCAAGGATACAACCACCTTCTCCTCCTAGGTAGTGCAAAGAACACTGCATTCATATGTTCACACATTCGAATTATGAATACAAAGAACAAACCTTGTATGGACGTCTATAAAGTGTCTGTGATCCCACGCAGCAGAACCTCAAAATACATCGTGGGCAAGTGCCAGTGTTCAGTAACAGCTGAACAATTGGTCTGTCCTTTTCTGTTAGTGAAGACATCCTGGACAATTCTAAAATTACAAAAAGCAGAGAAAAAAAGCTTAGAATAAACACAATTCAGCAATCCAACAATAAAAGGACTCACTTAACTGTGCCATATTTGAAATCACTGGATTTTTTTTGTCTTCTAGAGAATGTTTAGGATACATGTTTGTCTCAAATCAAAAGCACAACAGAATTGGAAGACCAACCCCAAAAGACCACTGACTTGGGGAAAAGCTTCTGTACTTCCTAGAAAAATCTGAAGTCAAGAGTTCTGACAAAGGTATGGTGAGCTTTTGCCCAGAGTTTTATCGTTGATAAAGTGCATTACATGACACGTTATTCTTTACTGAATGGAGAAGGCGGATAGAGCTAAGACATATTAAGCCAAATGTAAAATGGAAATTCCTTCTAAAATTGTAGCAACTAAAGAATCAATCTGTTAAAATCACAGGAAAAAAAAACCCCAACGAACCAAAAACCAGATGCTATCCCCTTATGTCATACAAAGCCCTAAAGACAAAGGAAGTCTTTTCTATCCATTAGCCCCTTCAATTTTTTGAGATTTCTTATTTCCCATCTCAAATATAGGAGTACCATTTTTCTGAGAGATCTCATAATGCTTTTTTTCCTAAAAGATTACGGCTGATTTGGTTTCCTGTCGCTCTCGCTGCCCAGAACTTCAGAGCAGACTAATTTCTTTGGCCGAAATTTAATAATGGGATAGAACCCTCAGCAAACTTAAGTTCCAGCATTTTTAGAAGAATTTGGAAAAGAGAGATTCCCAGTGAGGTGCTCACTCTTACTGGATATCTAGGTAAGTTTAGGAGGCACATAAGAATAACCACAGCTGTTCAAACCAAAGGTTCAGTTAGTCTACTGTCACCCAAAACAGGGATAAACACATGCCACAGGAAAATATGTGTGTGCAGGATAATATACACCTCTGCCAAGTGCTCTCTGCCTCCAATTATTTCTGGTTTGGGGGATTCTTTTGACCTAGTGTTGCCTGTCGGTAAACCTTAACAGATCTTTCCTCCAATCCTTCTCCAGTGTCTCTTGAAATTCTTTTGCCTCCACATCCTTTGGCAAGGAATTCCACAATACCTACTGACAGATGAACCACCTGATTTTGTTTTGGGCTTAGCTCCTGTAAGCAACATTTGATATCCCCCTAGTTTTTTGTATCGCGAGAGACGGTGTAGAGGCAGGATATATTGGCATTCTCCATGCCAGCCACGTTCTGTTACACCTCCAATATCCTATTCTGCTCTGGACTAGCTTGCACAGAAATATGTCAACTATGGAAAACCTTCACAACATGGCAAAAGTTACCAATTCAACTAATTTAGTTTCTCCTGGATTTGGATTCTTTATGGCAAGCTGTAAAAACCAAGGACTATCTAGAAAACTTCAAACCTGCTTTTCAAAAGAACAAAACAAGCAAACATACTCTTAGATAACTGTTAGCTCTATTCAGCTTCTTGAGACTTAAATATTGCCACAGTAACGTTTCATGCTACCATTGTCTGAACCAAGGGATTTAAGAAGAAAAAACCACTGAGAAGCTCCTTAAGAAATCTTCCTCTTCCACGGGCGGATTTAACGCAGGCGCTGAACGCCCGCAGCCCGGCGGGGATGGCAGGCACCGGTCTCCACGGAGCCGCTTCCCC